ATTACTGAGGGGATGACACAAAGGCATCTTCTTCCTAAAGAACTATGTATTTCCCGAATAGCTGGTGCTTATGCTGCTGAATTAATCATTTGTTTTGAACAAATAAGACAAGAAAAAAAAAAGACTTTTTGATTGGGATATTTTGTTGTTCTTGTGGTGGAAGAGAGCTTTTGAATTAACCTTTCTATTTAGATTTGAGGCTAGTAAATGGCTAGTTTTCTAAAAACAAAAAAAACAAAAAAACTAAATTCCCATACTGAGATTATTATCTGAAAATTGAGGTAAGAAAACAAAAACTATCATTAAAAAAACAGACTTATTAAAGTGAATGCACGTTAATTAAACCTGCGACGTTTTAAATACAGTTTAAGTTAGGGGGTTTACATAAACTTCTTTCATTAACCCTTTCAGAAGAGTAAAAAAGTAACATGGTTGCAAGATGTTGATGTTATATATATAAATAAATTAAAAATGTTAGAACTGTAAATTTACTGTCATTTTTGCTATTTTCAAGGCTGCACTTTTAAAAAGATGAAACTGTCCAGTGAGCTGTTTCCAAACGAAATTTATTTTTTGTCTTACACATGTGTAAACAAACTGACAAATAAAATCTGTCTAAAGTCTAGATGATTCGAGATAATAACTCACATAATTCAATGTTTTGCAAACTTTTTTGATTTACCGACAGGCTAAAAAATACTCAGCGTCTCACATATAGCATAATACTGACAACATTTTTGTATGTTTCTTAATAAATTCTTTTTTTTCCAGCTTTGTTTTTATTTTTTTATTTTTATGCTATTGCTAAGGTTGTTGTTGTTGACTTCTCGTTTCAGCTTAAATGTCATTAGCAGCCGTTAGTACATAGTACCTTAAGCCTATTAGGCCTAAACTGATGTGTAGAAACTGAGGTATCTATTTTTGAACAGATTTTAGGTGAGATTTAAGATGAGCATTTTTAAATGCTGTGATGATAAAAAAGCTTTTCATACTGTATCAAAGTGGGGTTTTTAACATGCAGCTAAAACTGACTGAATAAATAAAGTTAGATATATGTTGTTCTAGCAATACACCACCTTACAAAAGTATTCATAGACCCCCCCCAAATTTCCACATTTTGTCTCATTAGCAGAATTGGTGCAGATAAATATCAGAAAAGAGAGGTTTATATTAGTCTCTATTTTACTTGAATTGTAACTTTTATTACAATAACAGTTGACATTTTTGGGGGGTTTATCTCCACAGACACAGTCCTATGAAATCTGTTTACATTTTTTTTTATTTTTACCTAAATTCCTTTTGCTTTGTTTTTTTCTGAATTTTGCTTTTTCTTCACTACAACAATATAAAGTGACAAAAATGTTACTTTACTTATAGAAATAAAACAAATTGCTGTTGTCCAGCAGAATTTATATGCTTTTGCAAGGTATTTTAAAGGTATTTTTACCCCATGCTTTCTTTTTATATAGAACTAAAAACATTCTTCATGTGAAAGAGATTAGTATCCAACAATTTTGCCAAAAACCCAAGTTGNTGAAGTTAGGGCTACTGGTCTAACTGCTTTGTAGAACAATAATCAACCCCCTTCCCACCCTTTATATAAATAGCGACACCGCAGTAAAATACAACATTGAAGGAGCATTTAATGTGTTCTACATATTTTTGATATTTTTATAGTGTTTCATGTATTACTCTTGTATAAGTTTTTAAAAAATCTAACTGTGTTTTCAAACTGTGAATCCCACCACTGTCCTTCTGTGGGTTTACTTGCTTATATTGAATGTTTTTTCTATACCTGCTGTGAGTTCTCTGACCCAGCAGAGCTTCAGACAACTAAATTCTTAACCTCAGCAACACTGGATGTAAATGCACTCTTATTTGGGTCCTACATGTACCATACATAAATAAAATCTTTGCCTTGCAAGGTCTGGATGTGATGAGTAGAAACATGGGGAATGTGATCTGTGGTTGCGATTATTGGAGCAGAAATCATATTCTAGTGACATTCTGCCTGCAAAGATTTTTACTCAGTTGTGTTAATTTAAAAAGCGTAATTTCCTGGGTTCCTCTGCACAGCACCAGCCTTTCACACAGTATATTGATAAGCAACGTCTTAGTATTTGAACTACACTTAAAAGTTCATATTTTAACCCATTTTCCTTATTGTGATGATGCTGTAATGGGTATTCCTTCAACAATGCATGCACATGTCTGCAGGTATGCACTTGCAGAGGAATTAAACTACATTCAGTTACATGTACTTGAGCAACATTTTGAAAAGCAAAAACTTACTAGAAATTGTACTGCACCATACTTCTTGGTTTACTCGATTAATATTTTTGCGAGGTATATTGAGTAAAAGTTCTGTCTACTCTCAGTAACTTGAGCTGACCCAAAAACAGGGATACTGTAAATGGATATTATTTTACCCTGTTTTAGCTTAGAATTTAAATTTTCTTTTGAAAAAAATGAATTTGTCAAAAGTATTTCTACGGAGTGAATTTGTTATTTTTTTTAATCATTTAATTTTATGAATTTTTTATGTGTATTATGGTCTTTGGGCTGCTCAGTGGAGCAGTGGGTAGCACTGCCGCCTTGCAGCAAGAAGGTTCTGGGTTTAATTCCCGGCCTGAGGTCTTTCTGCATGGAGTATGCATGGGTTCTCTCCAGGTACTCCAGCTTCCTCCCACAGTCCACGTTAATTGGCTTCTCTAGATTCTCATTAGGTGTGAGTTTGTGCGTGAATGGTTGCGTCCTGCTTGTCTCTGTGTTTGGACTGGTGACCTGTCCAGGGTGTACCCCGCCTCTTGCCCATCTCCAGCTGGAGATAGGCACCAGCACCCCTCGTGACCCCAACTGGGACAAGCGTGCCAGATAATGGATGGATGGATTATAGTCTTTAAAATACCAGGAATTGCACATAAAGCCTGCTTTGATTTTTGGTGTTTTGACCGTTCTAAACGCAGATATACCATATTCACACAGGTATGTTGGGGTGAAGGGGATTAGTAAGCCTACTTGTAGTGTTTCTATAGACACCCTACCTAAGTTAGCTAGAAGCTAAATTACTTTTTGCAGTTTATTTTCTTCCCCGTTCACAAAAGCCAGGGGATGTGAGCCCACAATTTGATGGATCTAAACCATTCCACTGTAGCTCTGGCTCTGTGTTTACTATCCTTCTGGCCTGTGATCATCCATCTCAGTCGTAACGATAATACCGGGCATATCCCCAGTGGGCCGGTCCTAATTTCAGCGTGCAAAGGCCTGCCGTCCTTAAATCATACCGGCCCCAACACTTACTCTCTTACCTAAATGATGCATGCAGTATACAGTATATAGCCCTCCCTTGTCATGCACATCCTTGTGACGGTTGGCATATGGTGTAATTTTCTAGTTCTTCAATTTGTAAAATACTTGCAACAAACTAAATTATAATAAACTTAAACGCTTTCTTTAAACCAAACTACGATGTGCCTCTTGTATTTGGTGAATTTATGTTTGAATATTTTTGCAAAAATATGTTGGAGTGCATGATGGGGTTTTGCATCTGTTTACATTATTCCATTTCATTGCCCACAGGCCACCTAGACTCGCAGTGAATGCTTACACACCTCTGAGCTTTCATGGATTCATTCTTGAAGAACTGCCTGTCTGCCTCTATATTGTTTTATGTTGGTGTTTTTACAACACTCTGGCTTACGTTGTAGACCCAGTATGTGTGAGTGGGTGTCTGGCTGGCTTTATGCAAGTGTGGACGTTACGCTGCAGCAGTCACTGTCACTTCCTTGTTATTAACCAAAGCCAGTAAAACCACATTATAGAAGTCTTGGTGATTGTTTTCATGTGATGCTTGAAGATAGATCGGTTAATCCACAATGTGTGTTTGTATTTAGTTTCACATTTGAGATGTTTTGATATTTCGCCTTTTGACCAAAAAGCTTTGTTTTTGTCTGCCAAGAGCACCTTCGTATGTTTAGTCAGTGGCAAACTTTACTTTAAATGAGACTTCCTATGGCTCTCTTTCTTTTTGTTACCTTGTCTTACAGGCCATGTTTGTCTTTAACTAATTGCTATTCTGTCAACAAATTATTATCCCTGAGCTGTAGACCTCTGCAGCTCTACTGCCTATTTGATGAATGCTTTCTTTGCTCTTTCTTTCAGTTTAAGTGGCTGTGATTGTGGTTTAATGATAAATGTTTTCAGTAAGACGATTCTTTCGGGTTAACAGCTGCAGTCCTGGATAGTACTAGATAGGTGGCTAATGTTGGCTAAATTGAATTTAGGATTTTCCAGTTTCCACTTTTGCAATGACGCTTTATCAGAATTTCCTAGGATTAGTCTGAAGATGTGGTTGAGGAGTCCAGCGTTCTGGTAGCGCAAAGGAGACGAAATACCAGGTGACCAATTTTCAAATGCATGTCAGTCAAGATAACACTGTAGTTTCTAGAAAAAGGTAGACCAGCGACAAAATCAATAGCTCAAATGATTCACAAAGAGACCTATTCCAGCTGTAAGACATGATATTGAAGCTTAAAGAGTTGGAGGAACTTGCACGATTAGACAGGTAGATGGTAGTTGTTTAATGAGTTATCATTTCGCAGGAACAGGCGTCCAAGATGGGTGACAAAAGTCTATAAGGAGAAATCTGTACTGAAATGATCTGTTGTTTAAGCCACTCGAGTTATATGTGTATTTAGGAAGTAGGAGACACACACACACACACACCTGCTCACAGCTCTGTGGATATTACAAGTTGGCCATGTCTTATGGGAGCTGCAGCTTTACTCTCCTCTTCTCACTTTTGGATAAAGCCATGCATCCTTTTTCTTCCACTTCAGACTTATCTTTTACTTTCAGTTGTTATATCTGTAAAAGCTTGTAGTTGTGATATGACAAAATGTGGAGAACTTATTTGGACATTAATAATTTTTTTTAGGCACTGCAACTGTATTTAAAGGAACAAAAATGATGTTAACAGACTTTTTACTTTTGTTTTTCAGCACTGCCAGTAACTCAAATAAGAGCTCGCCCACCTGCTCACCAGTCCTGCGTAAACGTTCGCGCTCTCCAACACCACAGACCCAGGAGGGTGAGAACATGGTGGAGAAGGGTTCAGACCACTCCTCCGACAAGTCTCCCTCCACACCTGAGCAGGTCGTCCAGAGAACATACTCTGTGCAATCGGCGCGTAGCGGCGGAAAGAACTCCAAGGTGAGTCATGGGGACTCTCCCTCCCTTCCTTTCTCACAATCTTTTTGATAAAGTGTGGAATAAACACTGTAAGTCAGCACCTTTTAGTGGAGATTCCCACTAGAGAACTATCTGTCGATAAAGCTTGTAAGAGCCCCGTTACTTCTTACTTTGTCTGACTGGACTTCCGAACTACAAATCTAATACTCTACAACTTCTGGATGTATTTAGGCATGAGAAGGTATGAATATCTGATAGCATGATAACTTTAAATAAAATGAAATAAAAAAAAGCTGAATTAAAAATGAGGAAAAAAAACTCTTGCTGAGTTGTGGGCCGATCTTCAGAATTGAAGCAATAGTGTAGAGCAGGGTTTACCAACCTGGGGCCTGCAGGCACCAAAGGGCCCCTTAAGGACCATATGGGTCACCCTCAGCATCTTGTGAAAAACGAACAACTTAACACTAGATTCAATTTGAAAATGTGTTTTATTCTGTTGCTCTTCTTTTTTAATTATTTATTGAGTAATTCATCATATTATTAATGTTGGGAATTTAAGCATTTATAGAGATTTTAAAATGACAATAGAAATTAAAAGACACAGTATTAAATATGTTTATTATGTTTGAAATGTAGGTGAACGCAGAACCTTCTAATACATTCAGTATTGGTAGCCTGTCCTACAGTATGACTCAGTACCCATGAAGCAGCCCTCAGCCTTAAAAACGTTTGGAACCCCTGGTGGAGATTTTATAGCATTAACTCTAAATTTTTACTCTATTGCACTGGAATGCAGAATATCTGTATTTTTATTGGATTTTTGTTTACCTAAAGCACTTTGTATCCCTTCCTTGTCTGTGAAGCGTTCTTTATAAATAAACTTTTATTCGCTTATTTAGTAATAGTTAATGTGATTGGTGATGGGAGCTGTTTATAGATCACAGGTGTCCTGTCAAAATGTCTCTCTTTTGTTGGCTCCCTCTCTCTGGCTCTTCGTTGAGCATTCATATTTAGGATATTTGGCCCATATTGTTCGTATTATGCACAAAGAAGCATAAAAAATTCCAGAGATGAAAAAGTGTACAAACAGTGAACAGCTACAGTAATTAAGAGATTCGTTATTTTTGCCTTTCAATTAAAAAGTAACCAAATGCACAAACCCAGAGGAGAAGTCATTGCCTATTCAGCACAATCAATAATCTTTCTGCCTCAGTTACATGTCAGTATTTGTTTCCTAATGCTAGAGATAGCTTTTTCATTTCAAGACAGACTTTACTTATTGGAAATTCTGCTTGGTGACACTTTAGCTGTGCTATGATAATAGCTGCGTTGCTTCCTCTGTTTGCCGCTGTCCGAACACGGGTAGGGCATCCATGCCGCTGCTGTCTGTCTTTTTTGTAGCAGCTAAAATGTTGCCATATAGGGAATCCTATTAAGTTTCATAGAGAGGTGTGTGGGTTTCGCCTTGTCTGAAAAGGCTAAAGACCAGTGTGCTCCCCTCCCTCCCCTGCAGCTCCTGCCTCATGATGCTGCAGCTGCTCACAACCTGAGCACTCTCTATAATAAGGTTTATTTAAATGAATGCTTCTACCTCGGAAACAATGTTAAGGAAAACTTCAGCAGTTTTGAAACAGTAACTTTTTAATCCAGGATATACGTACCTGGATGTATTCCTCCCCAACTCCCTGGAGAAGTGATGAAAAGTTACAGCATAGCAGCTTCCTGGATTGGACTTAAGCTCCTCTGCCTTACTTAAAAAATAGGGATGGAGCGGATTATGAAAACCTTCTGAACCGTTCGCTTCGACCGTCTCGGTTTGATTCGCGTGTGTTGCATTCGGTTCATACGCTGCTCCTTTTTCTCATAGGCAAAGCATGTACACTCCAGAGCAGAGGGTGGCAGTACTGCGACCAAAGCCAACCACCAGTAGCAAACAAGAAGAAGAAGTGAAGCAGCGTAGCCGGGTGTAGCAGAAAAAAATCAGTTGTTGTGGAGAATTGTGTGGGTATGGCGAGTGGGAAAAAACAGGAGTTGGAAGACGCGCCAGCAGCACTTTATAGGTCTGCTGTATGGGAGCGCTTTGCATTTAGAGTGACCTACGATGACGGCGGAAAGAAAGTTGTGGAGAAAAGTGCAACAGTGTGCAAGCATTGTGCAACACCTAACAATCAACATATACCGAACCGAAAACCGTGACCACGAAACAGTGAACCGAACCGAACCTTGGATTTTCTGAACCGTTCCACCCCTATTAAAAAATGATGTAGGTCTTTGCTCTAAACATAAAGAACAAATCTACTTATGCAAAACACTATACCGTCAATGCATCCGGTGTTTAGCTTAAGGGTAAAACACATTTTTATTAGAGTGTTTGTGTTTTTTGCTTCATATTACCAGAAGCACTGGGTCAGCCTTTCAATCATTGAATTTAGTTTTGAGTTTTTGCCTGCATGGTCACAGGCGAATAGAATCCAATACCTGTATGTGTGCCGACTGCCGCCGAATCAGAATCATCTCTATTTTTTATTTCTCTATGAACAAACAAGGGATTTTAATTTGGTTTCCCTTCCATACATTGATAACTATTAGCTTAATGCGTACAAAACTCAGAGGAGGATGAAGGATAAAGGAGCAATACTATGTGTTTTTATAAACAGTTAAAAATGAAAGGCAGCTATTATGTGGTGTACTTATTATTTCCACAGCAGAGTAGATGACTTCTCAGGCTGTGATGAGTTCATTGGAATTAAAGTTTAGTTAAAGAAAGTAATCTTGTGATAGCATGTTTTGTTTTTTGTTTTGAGTCTAAAAAGTCTATGATTAAACTCTATGCAGCTGAAATATTTTAGATTTTTTATACCTGTACAAGTCCTGGATGAAGGTTAGATCTTCCTGATGATCTTCTTAGTAAACCTAATTATTTAGTGCATTTTAAGCCTCTCCTGCCATTTGGATGCAAATATGCATGTGCAGCGAACAGACTGACAAATGGAACAGCAGCTACTGTGGACGCTTGTTTTCTGTCCAAAGTGAAGTCTCTGTTGGGCCTTGTTCTGAACGTGTTTGTGTGAAGGGGACCTCAGGTCCTGAGGAAGGGTGGTTCCTAGGAACCAGAAATGATGTACAGTTCTTGAGTTACACATACAGTACATGCGTTCTTATTAGTGTACAGGGAGAAAATGAGTGGAAAGACAAAACACCACTGTGGGGGACCAGTGCTAATGGTTCTTCTGTCTGTCAGCCAGGAAGCTGATCATTCACTGAGAGGTGGGCAGACACCTTGAGCTGGAGAAGCTTTTAGGGGAAAAATAGTGTAAAGACCAAGCTGAATTCCACAAACAGGATCTTGGTGTACATTTCTGGATGGTCAATGCTGGGAAGGATGGGTTTTTTTCCCGAGTTGACAGCATTCACTGTCGAAACATAAGAATGTTACATTTAAATTATTCTTAGAACACAGTGTTGAAAGCTGTAGGGAATTTCCATTGCCAAAGAAGTTACACGGAAACCTTAAATTACGAACTTTGCCATAAAGCGTTGGTGGAAGTCCTGTAAAACAACACTACTATTGGACTAGAGCAGCTGAAACATGTTCTCTGGAGGGATTAATCATAACTATCTGTCCAGCTTTCTAATGAATGCCTTCTTGTCTGCCAGTTACAAGGGCAACAGGATTTATCTGACTATTATTGCCAAGTGTACGTTTTTTGGATTTTTTTGCTGAGGAGATGAAGAAGTAGACATAGGCTCTCAGTTTCAGCAGAAGAACGTCTAAGTGCCTAAAAAAAAAATAGATATTTTGGTCTATTTCATTGTCCTGCAGTTACTTTGTCGGGCAAGTTTAGGGAGGACCCCTTTCCTGTTTGATGTAATGTGCTAGTGCCCAACGAAATCTCTATAAAGACATGGACTGCATTTTTCCAAAGATGTCAATGTAGATATGTTTTATGCATACTTAATTTGATGAGGATCACATGTGGGTAGTATATATTTTAAGTCTTTGCAGGGAAATTAAAATATGGATGTTTCAAGATGCCTACAAATGTCCAACAGTCACCTTCCAGTGAGGAGTAGATACGGAATCATGCTGAAAACAGTGTTCTGGTCGGGTTACATTGAAATAAAGACTTTTGGAGAAAATGTATATTAAAATTAAGAAAAAGAAAGATATCTCTGTACCAGAAGAAAAGAACAAGGTCATGATAAGTCTAAGAAAATTTGAGAATAACATCCAACCTTTCTTGTTCCAGCTGGGATGCATCGTGGTGCATCAGACTATACAGATGTTATTGGTCTCGCATTCAAGAAAACTCTCAGCTCTCAAAGAAATCTTAAAGATTTGTTGTTTTGCAAATAAATTTATATGAAGGCATAAGGATATATACATCTACTATCAACCCTTTGCAAGACCTCAATACCCTTTAAATCCCAACGTTTTGAACTGATCAAGAAGGACTAAAGAAATATATATCTGTTACTACTTCTACTATTATTGAATTCCTCTCTGGATGGTTTTCTGTAGGTATGAAACTATTTTAATGCAGTTCAAATGAACTAATGTAATTTGATAATATCAATGTTCATTCTGTATATTTTTTCATCTCAGCTGCAAATTTCAGCCATAATTCATCCATCCTGACCTCATCCATCACTGCAGCTCGAAATCACTTTCTGATTGTGTTTTCTTTGAATTACTGTTGCCTCTTCAACACATTGTGCACACCTTCTCTCTTTGCTGCTCTGCTGTTGCTGCTACATGTCACATGATAACATGTTTCATCTGATGAATACTGCTCACCTCTTCTCTTGTTTTTTCTGCTTTCTTTGTTTCGCTTACATTTTTTCTATCTGATTTTGCTTTGTTCTTTTCTTGTTTGCATGCTAGTCTCACAAGCGACTTTCCAAAGTAAGCATTACTCTTTTTTTCTGTCTTTCCCACTTTTCTATGTCCTCTCACACACCTCTTGTCTTGTAAAATGCCCTGAGGAGTCATTGAGTGTTTCACTTCTTTACCTTCCCGTCTTCCTCAGTTTGATCCTGCTATCTTCTTTCTTTACTATTTTATTTAATTTTAGATCAACTAATTGTCTTGTTATATATTTTAATATATCTTAAGATCTTGAAAATTAAACAAAACAGTATATACAACCAAAAGCAGAAGTATATAACCAATAAGAAGGTCTATATTTAAGTCTCATTTGGATGTACAGCATATTTCTTCACATTACCTCCCCTCCTCTGTTTGCTTATGCATTTGCCCCTTTGCTTGTCTTGGCACACTTAAAATCTCTGTTACTCTTTGCTACATAACCTCTTTACTGCAGAAATATAGACTCTAAAATAAACCCTTCACCTTGTCCAAGAAAGGTCACTCAATTAATTAAGGACACGGTGACTGCATAATTGCATTGCAACCGTTCTTTGGTCTTATTAGGGATTTGCTTTTTATAGCATCAATATAAAAAATCTGTCTCCTTTGAAAAGTCACCAAGGAATGCTGCCATGTTTTAGTGTTGGCATGAGTTTAACCATCAGATTGGTGTCTTAAAAAAAAGTTTTAGCATTTAGTCATGTTGCAACCCTAACTTAATTTTGAGCGATTCTCACGCAATTTAACAAGATAAAGTAGCACATATGAAATGTAGGGGAAATTATCACAGATCCCCATCTGGATCGTGGTTAATGCTTTGATGGAGCATTTCTGATGCAAGATCAGGCCTGTCACACATGTAAATCAGTTTATCTCATAATCAAAGTTTATTGCATGATACATTTGAATGAGCTCAATAATTTACCTTTGCATGCTTGTTTGTTTTCCTTGTGTGTCCCTCTGTTTCTGCTAAAGAGTTTAAATGACACAAGGTTTCACTCCTGTGCAGCGTTCTCCACCAACCCATTTCCTTGGCGTTTTCTTAGCGCAATCAGTATAGCATTTCAGCTTCATATTTGAATAGTTGCAAGTCAGAGAAACAGTATGAGATAAGAAAAAAAACAGAGATGGATTTGGCTGAATTGAACAACTTTGGATTCTACCGGAAAGACAATATTATTGTTTATTGCAATAACTTCTGAAACTAAATTTGTTTGGACAAGCCTACCCAGGTCTTTTGGTGCACTTATAAGCGTTTTATGAAGGATTGCCCATTATTTAACTGGGAGACGTTTATATGCTGATCATAAATAATGCTTTTCTTGTCTGGCTGTGGGATAAGTTGGATGGCTAAACTTTGTTTGGTCAACTGTTCCATAGTTATTCCGATTTTAAATCACGAATTGAACTGCAGTCAATGATATTTTAAAAAAGTACTATGATTTTATCCTTGACCATCCTGCCATGTTTTCCCCGACATGAACCACTTTCTTAAGTTAATCCATTCTCTGAGGCCTTCACAAAGCAGCTGTATTTGTACTGAAAGTAGGTAACTACTAAAGTAGTTTGATGAATTGGAATGTATTTATGGGCATCAAAGGGGGGGGGGTGCATACACATATTTGCAAAGGAGTTTGAAAACCATTTACCATTTATCTTCTTACTTCCAAATTACTCATATAATTCCTATAACATACATTCAGCTTTGTGGTTGTATGATGAAGAGATGTGAAAATGTCAAGGAAGTTATATACTTCTACAAATCTGTTTAACTTAATGTTTCGAACCTCTCCGACTTTTTATTGGAAAATACTTCATTGATAAGACTATGTAAAATATTTGGGGGTTTATTATATTAAGCCTCCTAATAAAATTCCCTATTTCTGGCTGTAGTTGCAATGTATTTCTTGCACACATGTAGTGAACCTGTGCTATTGCATTACCCCAACAAAAACCTCTTTGGTGCACTGTGGTCACATGACCCATGAAAGCATGAGGTCATCCTGGCAACGTGAGTCCGATCATCCTAACCCTAATACAATCCAAATTAGAGAGCATTCAGCAGAAACGGTTGGCCTGTGCCTTACCATGAGAATGGATTAATGATGACAGCAGTGACAGTAGCACAGCAAAAATCAATCAGGCTTCTCATGTAACAGCACCGGCTATATGAAAAGTGAAATTTAGTAGAACACTAACATTTCTGGAACCTGCTCATTATTTTTTTTTTCTTTCTTTTTTTTATTTTTTATTTTTTTTATTTTTTTTGTTAGTTGCATTCCTTATACCGTTTACTTTCCCATCTTTCATGACTTTCTGTCTTTCCTTTTCACTACTTTGGTTAACTTTGGGTTTTCTCATTAATTCCCTTTCAGTATGACAGACTTAATCTGATTAAAGTAAGGATTTCTTCTTTATTCACCTGACCGTCTGAGAGACCCTGCTTCCCCTTTAATAAATCCCTCAACCGAACTCTTCCTTTGTAGTGTAGCTGTGCCTATAAGTCCCTTCTGTCTTCTCCAGTGCTCCCCAGTTTCTAAATTTGTTCTTGAGCTGCTATTTATTTTGAGATCTTATATACTGTTGTAGAGAAAGCATTAGAAACACTATGATTTGCAGAAAAACTACTTAAAACCAATGCTGATTAATACAATACAAGAATTTATTATTTATTAATTAAATTTATATTAAAGCTTTTTTAAACACGTATCTCTAGACCAAATTGGTAACTACTACGAAGCAGCAACATAGAATATTGTATTTGTTCATCAGTAAAGATAAAAAATATTTATTGTTAAGAAGGAAGAGAGAAACTGGAACCTTGGTTAAAATAAATCTCCATCCGTTCATTTTTTTACACAAGTTGTACTACTTTACTGCTAACTTCTACAGGCCATTAGAAAGATAGCACTTAAATAATCCAGTCAGCTACCGCTTTAAGTTATGCAATCATTAGGATTCACCAAACTGTTGGTTAATGCTAAGCTATAAAATTCTTTGATTTCTAACTTACTGATACATATTTTTACAGATTTAAGTCTGGTTTCATGAGGGCAATTAAAACACTAATAAAAATAGATGATTTGAAGGTTCTTTGATATTCCAAAAAAGTTAGAAAACAATCCACTGGACTTTGTTTCCAAGTTTGAAGACGTTTCTTATCCCATTCAGGAAGCTTTTTCGAAATGTCAGGAATAGCGTTGAGTTTGAGGCTTTATACAGTAGCCCAACATGCCCTTGTTCTTTGATAGCGGTACAAGATTTAAAATAAGCTGAAGTAATTACAGGATTATTCTTAAATGTGTATCTGAGCTTGTCTCCCTAATCTGTCTCACCATCTTAAACTCTCTAAGTTTTTATCAATCTGCAGGCTCTTAGTGGACACTCTTAGAATATATATGTCAAATAACTTTTATTTTTTTATTTTTTTCAGTTTCTTAACCTCCCATTCGCTACTCAAAGCTGATCAAGGCAAAATTTATTTAGTTTTTGGCCAAGTGATTGGTCAATTGCTAACAAAGACTGCTTATGATGTACTCCTATTTTTTGACTCGCTGGAGGCCCCTTATTACTGTAGTGAATTAATTCATTAGTTTCTTTGATTTTTTCTAAAGATGCTGCCTTTATGTTGGTATTTGTAACTATAGCAATGAATGCTTGTTTGTTTGTAAATCTGCAAAAAAATAAATAAATACTAAGAGAGTACAGCTGAATTCTGGTTGAAACGTATCAATCAACAATCAACAACGTTAATGTGGTCACTGACACTGTACATAGGGGACTGATGCATTCTTCCCCTAAAAAACTCTGATAGTTTGGTTTGGATTGTTACAGTTGCTGTCTGGACTCGTCCACCTGTAAGTTCCCCGAGTCTCACTGAAAATAAATGTATTTCGATAGTATGATTGATTGCAATTATGTCTTCTGTTTAGCTGTAGAAGCACACTACTTAATGTAACAGGTGTAGTGAAGTAGACTATTCAATAATCAATAAGGTTTTACCTTTTAACAGTATGTGACACTCTGACCTGACAGATATAAGACTATCATACCTTTTAGCTATAATCTTTTGCATCACTTTAGGCTTTGGAATAAACAATTCAAAATATAGTGAGTGTATAATCTATGTTTCCATCCCTCATCCCTTATCTAAAGCTTATCTTGGTCAGCATGTTGCATTAAATAATAAGAAATCCATTGCTATTTATTATGTATATAAGTATATTAATCAAGTAATATTTGTTACTTGTCATAGCAATTAGCATATCCCTCTGTTTGTATTTCTCCTAAAGATGCATGTAGAGGAAGAAGGAGTAGAGTGCTTATTTTTATTGCAATAGTGCTTTGCTTTAAAAACAGCCAGAAAAGTATATGTCCTTTAGGGGGGTTGTCTTCTTCTTAAAGTTATCCTGTTCACTGTTTCTTTAGTATAATCTTAATTCCTTAAAAGTAGACCATTTATCCTCAATCTAATATAATTATTCTCCTGGTAAAATAACACTGGGTCACATACTACAGCCTCTAACATAGATGTAGATCTTATCCAGGCAGCGGCCTCTGAGTATTTCCACGCTCATGCCTCTGTCACCTTCAAATCAGATTAGCCCACATTGGCCTCAGCAGTCGTCACAGTTAGGCCTCAGGCCTGAGGCTGTAGCTCCCTGTTTCTGACGACACTAACAGAAAATAACCAGAGCTTCATTTCAACTCTAACCCCTCCGCAGCTGGTAGTGCAAGCTTTTAAGTCAAAATCAAATATAACATATAAAACTTTTTGTTAAATTATTTTAGTCTATTTTAAAGTTTGAAAACTAAACTCAATTACATTACAATTACAATAGAACAAACGTTTGACATTTTTGGTTCTTCAGTTTAGGGAAATCATTTTTCTTAAGTGAAACAGTTTGGATATAAAAGAATGGCTATCACTAGTCTCCTGTCACGCCGTTTTTCATCCTTTTATTCCCCTCTTCTCCTCATGTATGATCCTTTCCATGCTTTATTCCCAACACAAACAGCTGCATGTTATTTTCTTTTGGTCTTTTGTTTTCTGCAGTTATACTGCCCTAAGATGCAAGCACATGTACATTGTAAAGGATTTCTCTGCTGCCCTCTATTGTTAGAAAACTGTAACAAAGGGAATAGCTTGGGAATTAAAGAAAATTTGTCAGCTGAAAGGAAGAAGTCATCTAGAATTTAATTTAATCTTTAAGTTAGATAACACAATTAAAAAAGCATCTATTGTGGGTTAGAATGTTATGTGATACCTGTTGCTCCTAAAGCTGTCGGCAGATACAAACATGTCCACATTTGAATACTGATTTTTCTTTTGTAAACAATATTTTATTAAAGGAAACTTCAGTAGTGTATTTTTTGACCCAAAAAACAACAACACACATTTTGAAAGACAAGAAAGCCTTTTAAAGGCCTATAATAATTAGGAAGCAAATATTNAACACACATTTTGAAAGACAAGAAAGCCTTTTAAAGGCCTATAATAATTAGGAAGCAAATATTCATTTGATTTCTCCAGTATATGAAAGTTAACAAATTTCCAATCCTTTTAAGCCAGTTTTCTGTCAAACAGCTTATCTTAAGTAAATGTTTAGTTCACTGTGAATTATATTATGTGACCTGGCCATAAGATGAATGATAATGTATTTTGTTATTAGCTTAAATACATTAAATTTTCCCTCTTTTTTCTCTTTCCACAGAAGAGCCAAAGCTGGTACAATGTAAGTAATCTATGTTTTCTCTATCTATGTTCATCATTTGAGGTGCGTGTTTGTGTGACGTTATTTATATCATGAATGTGGAGTGTCCTTTATAAAGATCAGAGGTTATTTTACTTGGTCCTGTTTAAGGCCCAAATTACTACTGGCTAACTGGTCCTAAAGACAGGGATTAGCATGGGTTTAAAAAAAGCAACAGGTGGCCTTTTAATGCAGCGTAACCAGAACATGGAGATGCTATCAGAGCCAAATAACTTAAACACAATAATTCCTCTGGCTAAGATTAATTTTGAATGACAGAATAGGTTTCATTACATTTTTTTCTATTGAATTTTACTTTTATGCCACTAGGTGGGGTACTAAAGCTAGTTTTGAAACCATGTCAGGTTATCCTCTTCAGAGCTGAAATTTTGAAAAGATGACTGTAATGAAAGAAGAAATATCTTACAGAGCAGGAATGAGATGGATGAACTCAGGTTCAGTCAATGTTACAGTGCCAAAGCGTTCACACCTTTTGTTACATTTTGGGCATTTTCTGTTATTGCAATCCCAAACTTTTGATCCCTGAAGTGACAGACCAACACAAGATGGTGCATGGTTGTAAAATGAAAGAAAAATTTGATGTGGTATTGGGTGTTTTTACAAATAATAGTCTAAAGATTGCAGATTTTACCAATTTTTACTCTGTGTATCAGTGAGTTCTTCCAAATGTTCTCTACAGCGACCCCTGGTTACAAATCGTTGCAACATTCACTCAGACTTCGCAAAGTTTTTATACCAGATACCCTTCAACTGGGATTTAAAGTAAAGTTTCCTGTTTCTATGCCCTCTGCACCAAAGAGGGACTTAGCTCGCCCACTCTGATAGTCCAGAGAAATCCAGTCCAACCAGCTCGCTTAACAACTCACTGAATCAGTAAACAATGAACTAAGCAGACAGCGGGGTTATGAAACAGAGCTAAATCACCGACTTTGAAAATCTAATGGACCACGGTTAAGTCTATTGTTTGAAAATTACATTTTAACCTAATGAGACATGGCTATCCATCTAAAACAGGAGTCTGCAACCTGCGGCTCCGGTGCTGCAAGTGGCACCTTGGTGTCTCTATAATGGCACTTCATAGTAGCTAAAAATGGTAAAAGAACCAACCAATAGGTTTTGATACAGTATAATTATAAAATTTTTGTCATCAACTTGGAAACTCAGTGTCTCTATTCTTCCTATAGAAAATAATGTATGCATCCTCTTTGAGATATGCTTAAGTTTGGTCCTTATTTTAACAGTTTAAAGCCTGACAGAAAAAAAAGACTGGCAGAAAATCCTTTTTTCTAAATTATATTAGTTATTTGTGTTGTTTATGAGACTTTAGACATTTCTGTACAATGTACAGGGTATGATGCACTTTTTGCTCACTGTGCGTGTCTTATTGTATAGATAATTTTTTTCTAAAACGAAGATTGATGATGGTCTTAAAAACCATCACCAAAAACTCAATTATGATGCATTTGATATGAAAGGGTTAAATAAGAAAAAAAGATTGTTGTTTAATAAAATTACAAATGATTTCCTATAGCAGATTTCCTAATGTAATATGTGAGTAGCTGAGTTTAATTTAGCCGGTTTGCGGGTAAAATGGCTCTTAAAATTTGAAAAGTAGCCGACCCCTGATCTGAAAGGAGAACCTGGGAGGTAAGAGGTTTAATTAGTGAAGGTACCAGGAGGGCCCTCGTAATCCTGCAAGCGCTGCAGAGATCCACAACGCAGGTGTGAGGATTTATGGAAAACTACTGGTTGCTTCCTCTAGAGAACGATTTAAAGAAGAGTGGCAAGGAGTACGCACCAACTGAAAAAAAAAAAACGGAAGGAGCTAAAAACAGAGGAATACTTGAAATAAAACTTTCCACCTTTAATTCAAAGCAACAACAGTTTCAAAGTACTCTGTATCGGGTGAGGGGGCTCATATTTTGCATTTTTTTGTCACCAAAAAGTAAAGCTGTGTTAATTTCTTTACATTTCAGAGTGAACCACTGCTTTGTGTTGGTTTATCACATAAATTCCCCATAAATACACTGTTTGTTTCTTAAAGTCATCATAATGACAGAAAATCTGCCCAGGGGTGTGTGAATGCTTTGGTGGCATTGTAACCCATTTTTGTCCAGGAGTGTTTTTACTGCAATATCTCCCCGTTTTCTGTTTTATTTGTTTTTTTATTCCCTGTGTGTACATTCTTCCTCTTTCTCCCAGCATGAAAGGCAGCACATCATGAGAGTAAGCATGACTTGTATTCTTGTGCAACCCAGATATCTTTCTCGCTCTCTAGTTTTTTCTGCAGAGGGAAACTTTAATATCCCCCTTCCTGTTTCTCATTCCACTAACTTTGCTCAGTGTCATTATCGCCAACTGCAAACCCCAGTTTGGAGGAAGTTATTTGGATATGCTAGAAATGACAAGTTCACTAAATTTTCCCATTATGTCTACATGAATCTTCTTTTCTAATGGTTATATATACCAAATGGATTTGTTTTTAAAAAGTTACTTGGACTTATTTGTAGGTCTGTCCCAAAATAAACATCTATTAGTGGTGTGCAACAGGTGGCGAGAAACACACTGAGCTCCACGTTGTACTAAAGAATTTGGTAAATTGCTGGAAGGGTTTCTAGGCGTGCCATCTGAATGGTGCATGGTGGTTTGGACTGAGGCATGTTTCTTTCCTGACTGCCTTCATTCAGCAATGTTGTGCTAAGCATTTGGATTTTGAGTCTTAATGTTTGAAGACATGAAATCTGAAAAATGTTCACCATCAATTAGAAAGAAAGAAGGGGAAAAGATTAAAAAAAATAGTCAAAACAACCAGAAGTAAAGAAATTTAGATAAAAAAATACATTTTTCACTGTTGAATCTTAAGAAGGCTCTAAGTCAAGCTTCCACATGCAAAAAGAAGAAATAGGAGTAAAACAAAAAGAAAAAAATGTAGGTAAGCATTTTATTGCAAGCAATTATTAAACTGAAAAAGGCTTTTCATCAGCTGATGCAAAGTTCAAGACCACAACTTTTTAAAACCCAAATCTTCACAACACTGTCAGGACCTCCTGATGGCAAACAAAGTTTTCTCTTTATAACGCAGTCAGTTTATTCAGCCATATAAGCAAGGCCTCTCCTAGCGCTCCATTGCTCCTGAGGGTGGCTAATCATTTTTAACTTCTTATAACATACTTTCGGTAGTGACACAAAAAAACTCAATTGGTAGACCCACAAAAAAGTCTCTGGCTCTGAGCCGGATGATCCAGTTGGCTGCTTGTCAAGATACCAGACCACCCTCGGTCCAAATTGGGGTCGTCACTGGTTCCAACTGCAGTCCCACAAACATTGGATGACATCTAGGATAAAGAGGTTTTAAAAATTATAATCATCTTCAAAGGCCTTGTCTTCTTCAAGGGCCTTTATTTTGTGGAGAGGTAACAGCAGCTGCTCATGGAGATGATACAGCAGCTGCTCATGAAGATGATACAGGGGCCACCCCTTATGACTGAAAACCATCGACTGTGCTGTACCGACTGGGTTTTTAAATAAGACAACAATAGAGTTCACAAAGCTCTCCAAACAAACTACTTGTTCCAGAGAAATAGACTCACTGTTGGAGCATCCAGCATTTTTCACTGATTTTAATTCCATTAAGAACACTGCAGTGGAAGCCCTCCATGATACCCTGCTCAGCACTTATAGCAACATTCCCTCCAGCCTCCTGGAAACCCCCAAATCAAGCATAATAAAAAATGTTCAGGTGATTTTCAAGAAAGGAGCAGCCACTTATTAGGGAGTCCTTTCTGAATATATCCTTCTTATTTTTTATGGGATGTGGTCTTAAACTTTTGATCAGCAGATGAACAGTCTATTTTAGTTCAAATGGATGTTTGGAAGTAGCAATAAACTGATAACCAGTCTCTCTCTTATCTCTTTTTTACTCACTCTTGAGAATAGAGCATAACAACTCACAATTTAGAGTAAATGCAGCTGTGATGACAAACTGCTTGCCATCATCTAAGCCGCACATCTTCTAACACTGCTAATAGTCGTAACTCCGTTTTTTTACATCATAAACTGCTCTTCTACGCTGTACTCATATAGCAGATAGCACTAATTATATGCTGCCACCGACATGATAATCAAGTGTTTCAAGCCTCAGAAATCTAAATTGTTTTTTTTCCAGTTGTCTCTTATACTAGCCAAAAAAAAAGAGACAGAGAAAGAGATTTTTTCCTGAAAACAAGGTAGAGGTTTTAACACATTGAGCTTAGAGCAACGCTTCAAAACTGCAAGAATAATATTTGATTGTTTCAAAAGGAATGGTGTTTGTAGTCAAATTTCTGTTTCACTGTTTCTGTATTCTACTGCCACATAATAAGTGGAATTATTCATCTTCAGATTCAACTGTTAACTGAAGTTAAACATGAAAATGTTTAACATGTAACAATTGTTCTTATTACACATTGCACTGATTTGTAATGTACTGTCCCAAAAACATTTTTCCTTAAATATCATTATAATCAACTGTTTTACATTATTAACTACTTGAGCCATTAGTATTACTCTGAACAGCATGGGTGTTTTGTGGGTGACACCCTCAGACTGACACCCAACTGTGTCAGGCTGTCTTCTCTCTCAACCCAGTGGGGTTTGATGAATGAAAATATCTCAGTTATATTAAGGTTATTTTTATTGGAAAACATTGTAATAGCCGGAGTCCTATTATATAAAAAGCCAAAGATTGGATATCTTACATAGTATATATATATATATATATATATATATATATATATATATATATATATATATATATATATATATATATACTTTTATATTTATATATATATATATATATATAATAGAACTAACTGGGTTTTTGTGGGTTAATGTTGTTTATGCTGAGTGTTGCCCTACTGACCCATTGCACCACATAGATAAGGTTGAAGCTTTGAGGGAATCCATGTCCTGGATCNACAGAAAATGAAAGATAACAAATCTCTCTATATATATATATTTATATATATATTTATATATATTTATATATATATATAAATATATATAAAATATATATATAAAGTATATATTAAAATATATACATATATATTCAAATATATACACGTGTGTGTATTTTTTTTTGCTGTTTCAACAACTTTTCTACTTGAAACAGTATGGTTGCAGATAAAAACTGTCTGTATTTAACAGAAGAATGTATAGTTTAAAGGCATATGAAATAGATTACCCTAACAGAAAGGTTCAACCTTTAAATTAAGTTTTTAGACATTATCTATGCATATACTGTATATGTATAAATTTGCAATATGGTCTTTGTCTGCTGAGTTTCTACCATGTGTATGGCTCTAGCATATTATTTTGACCCTAACTATTTGAGTTTTAGGTGTGAGGCCCAAGTGGGCTCCACATAGAACGTTACTAAACTTGGGATGCGTGCCACTGTCCACAGTGACGCAGTATTCCTTCTTTGTTTTTTTGTCAGTCCAATAAAAAATCTTAAGTTTAGCAAGTGTCCATGAGTCTTTCAATTGGCTTAGATTTCAGCTGACTGTTGTTAGAATGTTGTGGAAAGTAATTTAATTTAAGATAGGTCTTACAGTATAATGGCAATCTAAAAAATACAGAGGAAATGCATATGAACATCTGAATTTCAAGGAAGTAAGAAATAATAATTGTATTCCTAAAAGGAAAAAGGTAAAAGTGTGGCGTAATATTATGTATTTATCTCCTTATTCTTCAGTCATACATTTTTTTTGGCCTATAGATCTATAACTATTAGACCTTACTTGCATGTCAGCCTGTGTGTGCATGCGTGCAAATGCACCACCTTTAAGCATTAATGGCCTCCATTATCTCGTATACCCTTAGAATTAAATAACCAGATGTTCTAAAATAGACCATCATTCCATTTTCGTATTCTAAAAATGCCTGTTTGTTTGCTTTGCATCTACATGTTTGTCTCAGTGCATCTTTGGTTACCAGAAAGTTAGCATCCAGAAGGCAAACACCAACAAGCAGTAAAAAAAAAGTGAGAACTGAACCTAAAGTTAATTAAGGTGGTTTCTATTTGCGTTAATAAAATTAACAGGCCTTTTTCACTTTTACATTAACTTTCCTACATATTAATGGGATGAGCAGACGATCCTCCAGCACACGCCCTGGATTTCTGTACCAGTCTCCTGTATCCCCTACTGTTTGTTCAGCAGGTTAATAATAAACCGGATCAATACACACTATGTATCCGCAGCCGTACGTCATCCCTCGGCTGATACTGTCACCTAAATTGTGGGCGCTGCATTAGTCATAATGGCTCCTTTCTTTGTCGTGTTTATTGAAGAAAAGGTAAAGAAAAAAGAAGAACAGATGTAACATTACGGTTGATTTTGACATAAAAATCCTCACTTCCAATTCAGTTAAAGCAAAGACGTTCTAGCAGCATTGCAACTTTAACTGTATTTTTATCTTTCATAATGTCAGCTTGAACGGGGGTGCTAAAAAGAAAAGTGTGTGAATCTGGATTATACATTTAGTTTGTCCAGCAGGAGGCCCAGGAATTCAAACCGTTTGCTTTTTGTTCTTTTTCCAATCCCCTCTGAGACCTGCAGAACTATTCCATACCTTCCTGTTTCGAGTTCAACGAAGTTGGGTAACGTGCTCCTGGAATGTTTTGAAGGGCTGCAAAAATAGAAAGCACTGAGCTCCCTAGATCTTCTCAGAGGGGGTATCAAGTATCAAGAGAATGGGGAATGGTCTCAGTTCCAAGGAAGGAAGAAGCACTTTTAGACTTCCCGCTGGACTTGGTTTTTGGTTTTAGCTTTTCTGTTTTGCATCTTATACAGTAGATAGAAAAAAAAAGTCACCTTCACTGTAGGTCAAGACTCCCTGTCCAGACTCTGTTAAGATTGATAGTGTTGTTTTGCACGTGGAGGTAACTGTAGGTTATGCTCACATCTGTTCTCAGTAACTCAGCCACTCTATGCAGAAACATACCGAAACAGCCAGAAAACATCATTCTCTTTTCTGAATCAGTCTCCCTGCTCTCAGCTGCTATATGTCCAGCTGAGTCTTTTCCTGGATGAGACCTCACCACAAAGTAAACTTTCATCATTATTTGCTGCTTGTAAACAGAGTGATTACAACAGAGCAATCCAACCTGGTCAGCACCACACACACCCAAAAACACACACACACACACACACACACACACATGCTCTAATCACACACTTACTTGGGAGAGTAGGCAGGAAAAAAAAAAGAAAACGCTTGCGGCATGATAATAAAGGACTTGTTGGCTGGGGTAACTAGAGGGCAACGGCCGTAACTCCTCTCCCTGTGTGTGTGAAAGGAAGCGGGAGAGCTCTGCAGAACCACAAGGCAATACAGGGATCATGTGGCTGGAGCTGTGAGCGTCCACTGCTCAGTGCTGAAGGGATTCGGTACCCGAAAAAATAGCAGGGGGGTTATTGAGGGTGTGGACACCCTGGCCTCTACAGCCGTGACTAAGGAAAGCCACAACTTTGGAACATTCAGACACCTCTAACTGAGCTGTCGGTGAACATGGAACTGGATGAGGATGGTACGATGTCGGAGTGGGAGGCCGTGCTGGAGCTGGATGAGGCGCTGGCAGGTTGGCTGCTGCAGAGTCCGGCTAGAGGGGAGTGGGGCTGGGAGTGGGGATGGGCTGCGTCGAGCCTCCAGGACCCAGAGTGGGACGATGAGGATATCCCAGCTGTAAGTTGACAACCACTTGTAAACAAGCAGAAATGTAGCTTTGTCTTTCAGCTTTGTTACTGAAGCTCCAAGCGGATGGAGCCAAAGAGATAAAGTGAGCAAACAGGCTTTGTCTTTATCGCCATGAGCGCAGCTCTGTGTACTAATTTCCAGGCACTAAATAAAACCACTGGTTTGGTTATGAGTCATATCTGCTGGAATCCTGTTTGAGCTCAGAGGTCTGTTGTTAATAGACATCGTCAGGTTGCTGTGTGGCCGACCTAATATCCCAACTGTGTTACGAGTATCTGGTTGTTTTTAGAGGCTGCTGAAAAGGTGGTGTACGCAGTTCGTTAGACAGACATCACTCACACTCTCAGAACACTGTTTTTTATTACCTACTTCTTCCTAAACCTGAAGCAGCTGAGGATTTAACCAAACAGTTCTTTATTGTTGCACTAAAATGCATATGAAGCCTTTAAGCCTGAAATGTATTTTTCTTTTGAGTAAACCTTTCCCCACTCTATTGTCAGCAACGGTTTCCTGAACATTTCCTGCTGCAGGGAAGCTTCTGGCATACATTCCAGGAACCCTCTCTATGGAGCAAATTTGGAAATTTCACACAGGCTTGGATTGGAGGATAGTTTTCCTAGAAGGGGGGATAACCTTCTGGGCATTTTAAGCCACAATGTTTGACTTGATGTTTCAACTGAGGGCTAAATACAAATTGGATTCATGGAAGTTTGTTTCTCTTTAATAGAAATCTGATAATTTAACTGGAAAACTGTAAACTTTAGACACTTGTAAAACACTCCTCGCCTTACGTTGTATCGCTTTGTTCCTCAGCATCAAGGATCATGCAGCCTTGCAGGTAGCTAGGGCTACATTCCTCCATTGTCATTCACTGTCCTTCCATTTCCGCCACCTGTCAAAAATCCCCCACAGACAGAAAGTCAATGTGTGGCTAAATGAAAGCAGACATCCTCATAGAGGCTGTGGGTGGTTTTAACCAGGTTTTCTCACGCGCTTGTTTCGCTGAAGCAAACAACCACTTGTGACTGAGCATGAGGAGGGGAGTGGGAGAGTTTCGGATGCATTTTGATGTTTTTTCTCTGTGGTTTTTCTGGTGCTGCTGCAGGTGCTGAGCCCAACATACAAGCAGCGCAATGAGGACTTCAGGAAACTCTTCAAGCAGCTCCCTGACACAGAGAGGCTCATTGTGGGTGAGTGGACACCCCACACACTGAGGCCATCTGAGGACTGCCAGGGTGCCCCCAGCCTGTTAGTAATTAAAACACGATTAATCAATGCATAGACACACATTGCATGTTCTAAGGCTTTCATTTGGCATGAATATACAATGTCTTGCAAAGTATTCACACCTCTGAAACCTTTTCCACATCTTAAGTTATAGCCATAAACTTGATACACTAATAGAAAATGATGCATTATTTAATTATGTAAGTTGTGCAGATGTTCAATGTTCTTACATTAAAAGAGTGATAATTTGGTCTGCATTTTACTCTTATTTTAGTACAAATATAGCTTTTCAGAGGTTAGTTGGAAAATACTGATGAAGAAATAACATCACAAAGAGCAAGAAACACTGCAGACAGGTCCGAGATAAAATTGTGGAGGTTTTAAATGAAAAGTTGAAAGCTGAAAAAGACATGAGCCTGAGGGGGAAGGTTCAACTTTCTGCAGAACAGTCCTCAATGAACTGCAACAATGGGATGGTTGTTTGAAATGCCCTGTTGAACTTCACGCCTAAATCCAATTTAAAATCTGTGACATAACTAGAAAAATAATTTTTAACAGAAGCCTTTCACCCATGCTGACGGATTTGGATATACGTGTTCAAAAAATAAGAATGGGAAAAAATATTCGGAGCATGTCTTCAAAGTTTTACCTTATTAAACAAGGTGCAAACTGGTTAGCAAAGCGCAAAGCTGACCTATAAAGAAGGTGCTAATTAAATTCTAATGACGAAATGGCCAAAAGTTTATGGGTGGAGGATTTGCAAATGTCAGTGTGTGCACCCACAAAGCGGTCAAACCTGAAACTGGTTGCAGGCTCAGTTTTCACATCTTTATTTAGCACAGGGGGGTCAAACTCTTGTAATTTTGGGCAGCATCAAGATCATGTATGTTCTCAAAAGGCCAGCTGTGCTATAATAGGTTGACAAAACTCATCAACACACTGTTTAAAAATTTGCTAAATATCTGTCTCTGCATTCAACGAGAACTTCTTAAAATAGAATACAGATAAAAACAGTTTTGATTCGATTTATACATTTATATATGAGCACACAACTGTTGGCCCCTCGGAATCTAGGCCAGATTTGGCTTCCAGGTTTTGAGGTTTGTGGTAGCACTTTTGAAAGCACATTTGAAAATCAGGACAATATTTTGGGTCAAACAGATGTTGATCGAGGAGATACATTTTTTTTTTTCACTTTTATTATAATTTTTTAAGTAATCATTACCATTATTACCTCCAGCTGCATGTCTTAGGTCTTCAATTTTCTTTTATGGCAACACACTGTCAGTAGAATAGACAATGTGCTCATTTATACAAGCGGAAAAAAAAAGTTTGAAAGTCTGATCCTTTGCACACAAATCATCAGAAGACACCTACTTATTCCATTTTTGTTTCTGCCCAAGCCACTTAGTGCCTCTTATTTTGTTTCTCTGAAGAACAGAGTCTCAGGCTCTAGATATGCAAAGGTGGTTGCTGACACACCCAAAAACCATGCATCTTTTCCATCAATTTTGTTATTGTGTATTCTTTTGTGTCAGTTTATTACATAAAATCTTTTTTTTTTATGTCAAATCTAAATAAAACATTAAAGTTTGATATCACGTGAAAAACTATGAAAAGGCTCAAAGTGTAAACCTAGATTTGCAAGCCACTGTTAATGCCTCTTAATGAACTTCAGTTGAGGCATTCCTTGCAGCACATAATGTTGCAAGTGTGCCTATTTTTCTGTTTAAAATAACATTTTAATCTGAGTTATGTTGAAGAGGAGATTACATTTAGCATAATGTCCTTCAAAAACCACAGCATAAATACTGTAACAAGTCCAGTAGCTGCAGTTCAGAACTATTACAACATGCTGTACTTTCATGAAATGTATCTTTAGGCCTTGGTCAGCCTGAAATGACTGTCTTTGTGTTTCCAACATGCAACATTGTGGTGAATGAATCATCATAGTCTTATTCTTCTCCTTTAAACTCTGATTAATGCAATTCATTCAAGTCTGAGTCTGTGTTAAGGGTCTTTGCTTTTTCTTCTGTTAGAGCTGTGATTTTATTCATGAGTTCCTGAAAGGAGACCACCAAGCTTCAACAATAAGTGATATAAAAATAAATAATAAAAATAAAATAAAAAAAAATAAAAAACACCCATCAATTTTCATTAATGTGAACCCAAATCTTAAAATCTTTAAGACTAAAAAGGCTTGTGTGATTTTCAAGGATTGAATCGATTTGGAAAAAACGAGGAAAAGCTTGTATAGCTTTATTTATATTCATATTCCTAAAAAGTCTGCATTATTTTTATGGGTTCATTAAATCTAAATTTGTCCAGAGTCTGAAACAAGCTGCAAAAGTTCATGAATAACTTACTTACTGAAAACTGTTTGTTAACAAAATAAGAGCCAACCTCAGTTCTGTTTTGTTCCATTATTGTTTAAACATTGTAGTCTGGAAAATATATTAAAAAAAAAGAAATACTAAAGGTAAACAGACAAGTTTAAACCATTTAAATTAAAGTTATTGTTAATATAAAGCTAATATAAAGCTATTGGGTCCCTGAGCATAACCCCACACTGCTCCCCCGGTGCCGCAAATGGCAGCCCACTGCTCCCTGAGGGGGATGGGTTAAATGCAGAGAGTGAATTGTGCTGCACTGTACTTGTGAAAGTGTAATGACAATAAAACACTGAAAATCAAGACTCTTTTAATCAGCTTTAAGCCAGCGAAGATTCTCTGCAGCCTTTTTATGTCTCTTTCTTCCTCATTTGGAGTTTTGAGAGTCAGTGTTATTCGGTGAACTTTGAAAGAATTTCCATTTTAGAAAACTACCATGTAATCATGCTGCAAAGTGTTTGTAAATGAAAGAACTATCATCTGCAGGTTAAGAAGCCTTTTTGCTAAGTTTCCAGTCATAAAGTGATTGTCCTGTTTCTCTTTATGGTTTCCTTATAAGCGCCCTTTGATTTTCTTCAAAAATGAAAATACAAAATACATTTTTGCACAATTTGACTCTGAGTTTCTAAATAAAAATTTTTAGGATCAATAACAGCAAATATTAATTTAGAAACAAGCCAAGTCAAGGAGAAACAAATGTTTTTTGCATTTAAGCATAATTTTTTTAAACATTAATTTTCCTTCACTGTGGGACCTTTGCCTTGCAGACTACTCCTGTGCTCTTCAGCGGGACATCCTCCTCCAGGGACGGCTCTACCTCTCCGAGAACTGGATCTGTTTCTATAGCAACATTTTCCGCTGGGAAACTCTCGTATGGCCAATATCTGTTTATATGTTTTTATTGTTTATTCGCAGCATTATAACAGGAGGTGATGCGTGCAGATGTAAAATTCTTGCTTATGTGTTTAGCTGACAGTGCGGCTAAAGGACATCTCCTCGATGACGAAAGAGAAGACAGCTCGTCTGATTCCCAATGCTATCCAGGTCTGCACAGACAATGAGAAGGTGAGGATTGTTAGTTGTATCTGTAGAAACATTAGAGAGACACCAAACAGGCATTGGTAAATAAAGCCTATAATGATGGCATGCTCTTAACACTAATAGATAATAATTCCAGAGTAAATTAGCATAAATGATGATTAATAGATAGATTTTCTTCCTCACAGCACTTCTTTACCTCATTTGGAGCCAGAGACAGGACGTACATGATGATGTTCAGACTCTGGCAGAATGCCCTGCTTGAAAAGGTAAATGACTAAGATCAAAATCCTTTGATGCTCTTCATACAAAACCCGGTAAAGAAAAAAAACCTTTAAGGATCTTCAGCCATTTGTATTGTTTTGTTTGTTTTTTTGTGCTTTTTATTCTATTTGAAAATCACAAACACGATAAGAAAAAAACTGAACACAGTGGGTTTGTAAGACATACCTTTGAAAAGAAATAATTGTCAAGTGTCCTCTCCCATCAATAAGATGAAAACATGCAATTAGGAATTTTAATAAAATTTTCCAATAACCTAAATTATTTAACTCTTGGGAATTACTTAGAGAAAATTATATACTTTGTTAATCACTTTCTATTAGTCTCAAAAGCAGATAACAAGTTAGGTTTGCAGGATGCACTGAGGCTTATTATTGTCACCCTTAATGTTTTCATCAAGTTTAAACTGTTTGCTGGCGTGACATCGAACCCGATTTATGTTATTAGCTTATTGGATGCTGTGTTATTCTGAAAAAAACAAATGTGCATTTCCTGTAGAGGGCATGCACTCCTTTATCATCATAGACTTTTGAAGTTAGTTTATCTTCAGTTATCTAAACCCGTTTATTTGAGATGAAACCAGATCACCTCCCATCATCATCTCACTGCTCAGAGCAGATAAATGATTGTTTATAGATTTTACACTCACCATGTCATCCTGTCAATGATTGTCATGATTTTTTTTCCCTGTTTGAATATTTATTGCTGCTCTAGTTTGGCTTTTTTTAAATAACATTTTCGTTGATAACTTCTTACACCTCAGTCTCAAGCACTGGCAGACTATTTGTGGATTGTTTTTTTTTTTTAATGAATTTTCAGTTATTTAGTAGTGGTAGGATGCGATTTAAATTTTATATTGAGTCTATCAACAAAAAAAAGCATCTTTTCAGTTCAAAAACTTTTTTCTTCTCAATTATTGAATAAAAAAAACTATATGAGTACAGTACCACAAAACGTATATTAATTGACTCTGCCAAGGAGGTTATGATTTCAGGAGAATTTCTGTTTCAGCCTGTCTGCTTACAGGATAACTTGAAAAGTTATGGACAGATTTTAATTAAACTTTTATCAGATGTGTCCCTTATGCCAAGGAGCAATCCATAAAATTTTGGCGATCATCCAGATAATAGTCTTGATACAGGAGTTTTTTTAAAAGTTCTCTAACATCGTGAGAGATATTTAGCGGAACAAGCAGTTCTCCACTAAACCAGAGGGTGGCAGCAGTGACTATTGACAACTTCAGCATCAAACTCAAAATGTCCGGAGATATTTTATTGAACACAAAACTCAAGAAAAGGAAGCATTCTTGGTTTTTTACAAGGATCAAATGAAACTTATGATTGTATGGATTTTGTTTACCAGAGGTCTGCCTAATGCCAAGAAACAATTCATTTAAATTTGGTAATGATCCATATCATGTGCGAGTTTTAGCGACAGGTTTAAGTCACAGTTTGAGGCGTCATTTGCTGCTTGGTGGAGGTCTGTGCTCTCAGAGTACTTTCCTAATTGATTTAATCCAACTATTTAGATTATACACAGCACTGGGTATTTCTATATGCCTAAGTTATTGTGTGTACTTTAACAAATTAAGATTCAACAATTGCATGGAATCTTATATATTTATCTGCCTGATTATTATATTTTCCATATCATTTTGTTATTTTTATTGTCACTTTATGTTAATTTTTAGCTATTGTAATCCTCCGACCTACCTGAGTAAAATATCTCTATATTTGACATTACGCTGACACATCTTCTCATAGCCTTATAAAAAAAAACTTTTACAGAAATATATTCTCTACTATGCAAGTTCTTAATTCTTGTCCCTTTCCAATGCTGCTCCATTGGTGAAAATTTTCCTTGCAAGCAAAACAAAAAAATCTTTGTTCCTAATTCAGTTTGCTAATATCTTCAATTCAAGCTTGGGGTTTTTCTACTTTGATGTTTTTGTCCAAACATATTTTTATATACAGCATTTTCATTTTGTATGTTCTTGCGCTGGATTATAGACCAAACTGTTTTCCCCCAGTTTGTGTCAATTTAGCCTTTTAAAGGATTTTTGTCATGCTTTCCATTGTTTCATCTGACAGTTTTCTTGTTTGGCCATGCTTCCTGTCATTCATTCTCATGCAGGTATTTGTTTTAGACTTGCAAATCATTCGGTGGTTACATACATTTCTCATCGACTGGATCTGAAAGAAAAAACTGCTCATTTGGGATGTTTTACAAAGCCACTGTGTTTTGTAATGAAATAACATACTTTACATTTTGCTCTTTCTTTGCTTTTTGTTTTACTTTGATGTGAGAAAAATGGCTGAACATCCTCTAAAGGTAGTTGCTCACCTTCTTTGTCAGAGGTTCCAATATTTCAGTAAGGCATTAGATAATTTACATTATTTATGCTTAACATACCTGCCAGATGTTGCTTACATTGCTGTTTCTCCATTGTGTTTCTATGAAATTAAAACCACCACATCTGTTTTTTGACTGTGTTTGCATACTTTGCAGCCCCTGTGCCCCAAAGAACTTTGGCACTTTGTCCATCAATGCTACGGCAACGAGCTGGGCCTAACAAGTGATGATGAGGACTATGTCCCTCCTGATGACGACTTCAACACCATGGGGTAAGTTTACATTGCACGGATTCTACATATTTAACAGAAAAAATATATAAAGCTTGCTGGAAGTGATAACAGCCAGTCAGGGGAGTGACATAAAGCCCTTATTTCTCCTGAAAGTGAAGTCTGAACCTCATAGTTTCATAAAGCTTTGGCATCACCTCATCTGGGGGAATTATTAGGAGTCTGTAAATAAAAAAGATCGCTTTAAAGGGACAGTGTGTAACATTTACCTCCATCTAGTGGTACACTAAATGAATTACAGACAACAGGCTGGTGCCTCATATATGAGAGACCTACTACGGAAGCAGAGGAGTGACATTCTACCATTTTTGAGCTGAGGGGACACATTAACCTCCCTCAGACTTATAAAATATGTTAAAATACACAATAAAAAACTGAATATTTATTTAAAATCAGGATTGAAAGAAGCCTATGGTCGTTATCTGGTCTGACCCATTTGATCAGCGCTCATCCAGTGTAGGATAACAAACTGCTGAACTACACTGCCCTGCTTCTACCATAACATCTAATTAAACTTCACTGTTATATTGAATTACTTTACCTGTCCAGCAGAAAGCCTGAAACCTCCTTGTCAGTTTTAAAGCCCTGCTCTATTATAAAGTGTCTTCACGTGGTAAGGATTGCACAGATGTAGGACTCTCTTTTTATCCAGGTTATAACTTCTGTCTCTGTTTTTGACAGACACCGACAACATGTTTTCAGATATGGGTTAAAACACGTAAGGCTGACAAGTTTGTCCCCTTTGTGCTACTCTGATCAAAAATGGCGACACAACATGGCGTCTCCAATTAAATGCACTGCCACCCATGTATTTATAAATGACTAATTCAAAGCTATAATAATGCTTTCATTTTTGATGTAAAGAAATACTTAACTTTTACCCAAAAAAAAATGTCACACACTGTCCCTTTAAGCAAGATTTTATTTATATGACTCTTATTTTAAACTAGAAAAGAAAGTAGTGGTAGCTTACTACTTGTAGCTAACGACATGAAAATAAAAAAAATACTTTCTTTTTTTTTATGTGGCTTTATTTTGAGCTCATAGTTGAAAGAAGGGAGAACAAAGTGAGAGACGAGGCATGAACAAAATGTTGATGCTGTGAGAATCAGTGACTGGGTAACCATCAGTTACTAACAACACGAAAGTTGGCATCTTGGTCAAACCTTTTTTTCAGCTTCACGGTTTTTACTGTTTCTTAACGACTCTGACCTGCATTGGATTATGCGTCTCAAACTACTGAAACACTGAGACCAAACAAACTCTAACAGGATGATTGAAAACTCAACACTAGCTTGTTAGAACCCTGATGAAGATCTGTAAAAATAAAAGACATTATTTTAGTATTTAAATCACTTTGAAATTAAACAAACATAAATTTTACCTTGAACTAGCTTAACCTGTACTTTAACCTTAAGAGAGAAATTAAAAACGGGTCTTTTTTCAAATCAAAACCGCCTCAAGTGAAAGCAAAAATAATTCGATAATCATAGTTCATCCAAGAATACAGTTTCGTTTTGATGTTTCTTAAACACCTCAGGACCTTTCTTAGGAATCCTAACCAGAAGGAAGAACTAAAGTTTTACACAAGAGAGTAAAATACCAGATAAAACAAGATCCATGCAACAACTCTGGTGTGCAGCTAGACAAAACTCCTGTCACCCTTAAACCTTCTTTGGCATGAAAGGTTCACTTTAGGCAAATAGACGTGAAGTTTTCTAGAAGACGTTTTGCCTCTAATCCAAGAGGCTTCTTCAGTTCTAACTAGTGGGAGAACTCCTACTCCTACTAAGAAGGAGGGATCAGAGCCAGCTTTTGTTTTTTCTCCTAATTCTTTTTTAGACCTACAATATGTATATATTCAGTGCTCCCCACCAATAGTTAGAACTGAAGAAGGCTCTTGGATGAGAGGTAAAATGTCTTCGAAAAATAAAAACACATGCAGTTGCCTAAACTGAACTTTTCAAGCTTGACCATGACTTGAATCTTCACAGATATCTTCTCATTTCAGAGATTTTAAACAATAGAAAAAGTTTAACAGTAACTTTTTGGTTTAACTTCATAACTCTATTTAGCTCATTCCTAAAACAACTGTAAGAATTCACTCCAGCTGATTATTTTCTTTGGCTCACATTTTTAGAAGAACCAAAACCAAAGAGTTTCTTATTGTAACGCTGGTTTATTCCATACTTCTGATTCTGCAACACAACATTGATCTGTTCTTCCTGTCTGCTGGCCGTTCCCTATAAGATCTCCGAAGCATGTGGCCTGGTGCAGATCCCCATGCTTTATTTCTACTCCTCTGCAAAGTCTTATCATATCAAACCCAACCCATTTAAAACAAACAGTCGTGAATATTTTGGCACCAACACAGCTGAGTGGGCGACAAGAGGAGAGTAAGATACTTTTCAGTATGTTTGGAATTGCTAATAGGCTCTATTTAAAAAAAAGAAAAAAAAAGTTTTTAGAGCTGCCCATAAGTTGGTTCAGACTCATTGATAAGATCTTGTAGGAGAAGATATCCGTGGACAGCTTTGGACATGCTGAGGATTTTAAAAGAAGCTGATTATTAGAAGATAAGGAAGTGAGTGGGGTTAATTACCGCTTTCTGGTGCCCTCAGGTTCAGCGAGGAGATTCCCAATGAAGAGAACGAGATAAACAATGACAACTTGACAAAGAACAGCACAGACGCCAAGCCTGAGGGGAGTCCTCCTTTACTGCACAAGAAAGTTATCCCAAATAACTCCCTTCCAAGCCCAGGAAACCATGAAACAACCATTACTGTAAGTTGCTGAATGGATTTTTAACCCAACACATATATTATTTCACCTCTGACAGAAAAATTTTAGATGAGGTCAAGCAAAATTTTCATTTGCATTTTCCTTTTTTTCTCTAGTTTGAACTCCCTGCTGAGGAATTTGCAGACTGTCTACCGGATGGTGAGCTGCTCACAGTGCCCCTAGTGGTAGAGGATAAGAACGACACCAGCGGGCCTGGTGGTCCTGTTCCCTCACCTTCGCTGGACTTTAATGATAACGAAGACATCCCCACTGAGCTCAGCGACTCTTCAGAGACCCATGACGAGGGTGGGTACTTTACTGAACCTGCCTTTTCCTTCAGAAATGAGAAGATGATGAAGACAGATGTAAGCTGTGTGTTTTCCTGTTGATTTATTATACAGGTGAGGTGCAGGCCTTCCATGAAGACCTAAATGGCAGACAACATATCAACGAAGTGTACAAGTTCAGTGTGGACAAGCTCTATGACATCCTCTTCACAGAGTCTCAGTTTATGAGTGACTTCATGGAACAGAGGCGTTTCTCAGGTCCGAAACCCCAAGCTTTACTTCTTCTGATACACTAGCTATGGATAATAAAACCAGTTCAATTCAATGCAATTTAGTTTATTTATATAGTGCCAATTCACAACACATGTCATCTCAAGACACTTTACAGAGACAATTCAACCAAATTCAAAATTTATTCAAAGCTTTCTAAAGAAAACAATTTTATTGCTTCGACTCATTGACTCCAAGGCAGTCCCTCACATCAGGCATGCTCATAGTAACAGTGGAGAGGAAAACACTGTTTTAACAGGAAGAAACCTCCAGCAGAACCAAGTAGAAAACAAGTAGACCTAAGCAGAGATAGAAAAGGAAGCAGAAATACAAAAGGCAACTGCCAACCAGCTCCCCAGGCAGCCCCATCCAGGACACACACAGCCAGGCAGACAAGCTCTGAGCCAGCTCCCATGTCAGAGGATAAAATAGAACACATACAGTTAGTAACAGTCAGAGAAGCAGGTGTAAACTGAAAAAACAGATCAAGCTCCAACATCTATAAAGAATGATGTTGATGGCAGCAGCACGGCTGATAGTCCCAGCCGAACAGGGGAAAAAAAGCAGAGAGAATATAATGTTAGAGATTGAACTAACAAATTCTGCGAGTGGAAGAATAGAGATAGAAGAGAGCAGAATGATGAAAAAGGGGTTACTATGTCCTCCAGCAGTCTAAACTTAAAGCAGCATATCTCTAGATGTAGCTCAGGACAACCAGCCTGTACAGTTAGAGCCACTCTGACTATAAGCTTTGTAAAAAAAGGAAAGGAAACCAAAATTACAGTTTTCATTTTTGCATCCAGATATCGTGTACCACCCATGGAAGAAGGAGGATGCAGGAAACCAGTCCAGGGTTATCATGTACACCATCTCTCTGTCTAACCCTTTGGCACCAAAAACAGCCACAGTCACAGAGACGCAGGTGAAATGAGCATCGCTGCTGTTTCATCCGAATATTCTCAGTTTTTCCACAGGAAGCACATTTATCCAACACATTTCTGATATTTTTTTAGACTCTGTACAAAGCCAGTCAGGAGAGTGAGTGCTACATCATCGATGCCGAGGTGATCACGCATGACGTGCCCTACCATGATTACTTCTACACGCTGAACCGCTACATGCTCACACGGGTGGCTAAGAATAAATGCCGGTTACGGTGAGTACTTGCTGGTTTATGGTTTGCCATTTTAGTCCTTTTTGTGATCTAACATATGCATTTTTGTCTCTCAGGGTTTCAACAGAGCTGCGGTACAGGAAGCAGCCATGGGGGCTGGTCAAAGGTTTCATTGAGAAAAACTTCTGGAGTGGACTTGAAGAGAACTTCCGCCAACTGGGTAAAGCTTTGTTATTTCAGTTTTGGTTTTGCATCAGTCATACAATTTACCATATGTAAAACCCTTAACATTTCATAGCATAATTGAATCTCACTGTCCGAAATAAACTAGAAACTTGACCACCCCATAACTTTGTTCTTCCTAAAATCCATGATTAGCAAAACAGGATCAATAATTGGTTTTGACATCTGGAACATGAGCATGTTCCTTAAAGGGATAGTTCGGTATTTTTGACATGAATCTGTATGACATCCCCATCTCCAGCGGCATGCAATCACACTGACTTACCCCTGGCAACATCCTGTGAGCAGAGTTCTCGTCCAGTTTTGGTCAAGCCAAAAGTAGTCCGGCAGGTTT